TTTTAAAAAACAGTAGTTTTCCACTGTCTTAGTTCTAGTACCCCAGAAGTGACCCTGAGATGAGGATTTGAAAACAAATAGTTTATTTGAGAAACAGAGGAAGCACCAATAAGGGAAGAGTGAAAGGAATATCAGAAAAAAGGGAGCCAGCAAGGATATGCTTCTTACCCAGCCTCGATGGACAGCTACAACTTGGAACCATGGGAAAATTCTGGAAAACAGTTTAGAACATTTGGCCCACAATTCTGCTCTGGGAATTAGCAGTTCCTAGTTGAGGGCTTCTCTCAGGACAAGTTAATATCAGATGTTGCTGGACTGCCACGCCTAAAGTTGGTGCCTGGAGAGAACCTTCATGCAAAGAGACGCAATTGCTGGCCTTTGGACATAGTCCTTAGTAAGCCTTCAGGAACTTGGGTGAGGGCCTGAGAATCTCTGCCACATTTATAGGATTAAGGAAAACACTGGTTTAGAAAGACAGGGAGCAGTTAAACTTTGAGGAAACCACTCTCCTTGAAGACTGAGAACAGCAGTAGATGACATTCAGGTCAGAACCAGAAGCTTCCTTCTGTGAGTTCCTCAAAGGAATAGCTTGAGATGGGATAGGGAAGAAGGTCTAGGCTACCAGCAGAAGCAGGCTAAAGACAGGGGACACTATGATGCATGAGGATCCAGGTTGTTGTGTTTCTCTGAGTTAGAATCCCATTTATATACTAGAAATGTCTCAGCTGCAAATCACATTGAGAACAGAGGTGAGTGTAAAAATCACTTTATCTGTGGCATGAAGTACTATAACAGGAGTCACTTCAGAAGAATCAGGTCTGAATGTGATCAGAGATTTCTGTGGTCAACTTATCCTTCGTTTAGCCCAAGTAGGTTGAAGAGGCAGGCAGTTATCCATAAGCCATGGAAATTTGGTCCTATATCTTCTACTGTTTGAAAAAGATAAGACCAACATTTTTGGAGGGATAGAAGTGTGAGTAGTCATGATCAGAATCTCTAAAGTGGATCTGATATAATATAATCTGCTCTTGCATTATATTGTATGTATATGTCTCCTCTAGAGAGCTGGCAGATGGGAAAGTTAAAGCTGTCAAAGGCTGACATGTTGCACAAGGCTCTTGTTCATCTGATACAGGTTAGTTGTTGATGTATTGCTGCAGGTCTATACTTCAGGCTTTGGTGAATGCACCCCTACCCCCACGTGCACAAAGAATTACATATGTCAGTCTTCATTAATGGAAAGTTTTTGTGTTTTACCTGATTTTTTGTTGTCTTGGAATGAGCCCCCAGAGGAGATAGCTCAGGGCTTGATTATTTTTTACTCAAATTGCGTGATCTGATGTACTCTATTTTTCTTTTCTTTTTCCTGTATCTAGGTGCAGGCAGAGAAGATCTGAAACAAAAAAGTCAGAATATGTCAGCAATTTTTATCTGGGGAAAAGTATAGGGCAGCACTGTGACACTCGCTTATACTTGTACATACTCGGTAACATAGCTGTATGTATAGAAAAACAGGACAAAGGTGTATCAGGCTTGGTCCAGTTAAAAGACAAAATGCTACACCAGTTATTTTAACAGAAATAATTTATATAAATAGTTGTTAACCATGCATCAGACAATCTGAGCGATATAAATGGATCCTGTGGCTCACAGAGGTAGTAAACTGCAGGAAGCTTCGATATGTCCCACTAGGATTGGGAGAGGGAAGAGCAAAGGAAAGAAGTATAAATAATAGGTATGCCTGAAATATATGATCCACATGGAACTTCCGGAAAAAGTGAAACTGGGGGAAGGGTGGGGCAGAGTAGTATGGGAGGGGTAAAAATGATCAAATTATGTGCTTACAAGAATCTGCCAGAACGAAATCCATTAATCTGTATAACAAAGGTGCACTAACTTTAAAAAACACATGTGGGAAAAGTTCCACACTTCACAGACCTCTTAGGGTGGGGCCACTGGAAAGCTGGCTGTCCTGGTGTCTTAGAAGAGGTACAGTGAACTTGACAGTGAGAATCTAGAGAAACTGCTAGGTGGGATCAATTGCGGCTGCCCGAGGAAAGCAGTAATACTGGGGTGGCGCTAATAGGCAGCAGATCAGGAGCCAGTATGTTCCTCCCCATCCACAGTCATGCTGGGGCACGTCCTACCAACAGAGCCTGAGGGAGCCGGAAGGCCCGGGAGAGGGGTGACGTGCATAGTCCAGGCCCCAACATCAAAACGCAGGGGGGTTTTGGAGCTTAGGAGCAATTATGTTTAAAAAAAAAAACAAAACAAAACAATGCAACACCAACACTAACACAGAGCATTATATACAGGAGAAAGGAAGGAGGAGGGGGGGAGCAGGGGAAAAATGTGTGCATGTGAGAGCACTAGCGAGAACACAAATACGTACAAGCGCCGAGATAAGGATTTACAAAAGTAACCATAGCAGGAGTCTGTACACAGATAGCATTGAGCTCTGCAGGAATAACTCTAAGAACCCTTGTTTGGCTGGGGGAAAAGGGTGGTATGTTCCTACAATCAGGGCATCAGAGTCAAATCACGCGTATGCCCTACAAGCATACACTAGGTCTGTGAAAGACCATAGGATGAGAAAACTGACTTTTGTCTTTCCGCTCATGCTCCCCCTGTGACATGTGTATGCACAGAGCATAAGGCAGGTGGAAAAGCTTTTCTCAGCCTTTTATATTATGAGTTTCTCTTCCTCACTTCTACTGCATGGAAAGAAGAATTCACATGTGTTTATGTGATATGACTCCACTTTAAATTGTACCAAGCATGTACCGAGCACTTTACCTCTTACGCTGCATTACTTAACGATTGTTTTGAGCCTAGAAATATTTCTATGCCTACTTCACAGAAAAGGGATCAGATGTGCAGGAAGCTTCACTAATGCAATGCAAGCACAGTCAGTGAAAAATAGGACTGAATTTCAAGCTCAAGTGCGTCTTGCTTTAAAGCCTGTGCTCTTATGTGTTATTAGGAACACCACATGCTCCCCACTCCAAATACGCTGCCGTGACCTGGGTCTGAGGTGAATCCTGTCATCCCCACTAGCCGCGCTGGGAGCCTCTGTGAAATGCTCTCTCTGACAAGCCTGCACCATCCAAGATAGTAGCCACTAAACACATGTGATTATTTAAGCTTCAATTAATTAAAAGTAAGTGAAACTCCAATTTCAGTTCCTTGATGAGAGTGGCTTCGTTTTGAGAGAGCTCCACAGCTACAGGGGACTCCTGGCCACCGTATTAGGGAGCACAGGACATTTCCATCACCACAGAAAGTTCTGCAGTCAGTGGCTCCATAGTGAGAGCTTGACTTGACAACCTAGTTTCTGAACCTACCCCAACAGCTTATTAGTTGTGCACCCATGGGAAAGTTATTTAGTGTTTTTGTGCTTTAGTTGCTGCGTTTATAAATAGGGAGAGTGGACGTAGTTCTTCCTGGGATTAGAGGGATAACTGAGGCAGTTTGCAAAGTTTTCAGCGTGGAACCTAGACAGTGATAGTTTGTGTTTGGAGTGCTTTGGGGAGGTAAGGAGTCCTATGTTGACTCATACAATTATTTTCTTTAGCATGTATTTTTATAATACATCCTATATGCTAGATTCTGGTCTAAGCGCTTAACAGATGCGAAATTATCAAAATCCTCATTCTTCTGCTTCAGAACCCTCCTGGCTTCCCCGTAACAGAGGTGGAGAATATTCACATTAGAACTCTGGGACCCTTTCCTCCCTGAGGTGACCTGTGTTTACAAACCACAGTTTGCATATTTAAATGTAAAGTATAAATAAAAGGTCTGGATAAACTGACTTAGGGGTTAAGAAGAGGAAGGGATGAGGGTTCCTAGCCATCAGAGTCATGAGAAACTTCCTTGATAAAGGAGCATTTGAAACGGGCCTGTGGGGCAGGGAAGGAGATTCCGGGCAGCAGGGACAGTGGGAGGAGAGGCTCTGGCAGCATTAGGGTACCATGGGTACCACAGTGAACACCGAGGAGGGAGGGAGCTGTCCAAGTGCAGAGCAGTGTTTTGTCATCGACAGTGTTTGGATTCGCCAGCACGTAGTCATAGTGAAAAAGACACAGGTTCTCAGTTTCATTAGTGCCTTTACTACTCTACCTATGAGACCATCCCACAAGGCTTTGGTACGGTACCGGTAACTGCGTTTGTTTGGATAAGTATCTTTGAATGTTCTTGCTATGTTTTTCTGTGTAGTCCTTCAAGTGCTATGAATCCCAGCCTGGGCTCTTCGCTGTGTGCCATGTACTTACTCCGTGCTCTGAGGAGAAGAGTTTTATGAAGGACCAAGGGGCAATGCTGGGCTTTCCACAAACTGGGGGAAAAGAGAATCCCAGGTGGAGCCAGTGTCCCTCACTTTGCAGGTCTGGGTTTTTAGAGTCAACCAGCAATGCTAGATTGAAACTAAAGGACATGAACCGTGGGACTGAAGGACTCTGCTTAGAGTTTTTGTCGCTTGGTGGGAAGCTGAGAATGGGATCACTTGAACATTAAAGTCACTAATGAGCAGAAATATGTGGTTGATAATCCAGCCTACCCCAGTCCTCTGGCCTCTCCCTAACTACCACCCCAGGGCAAAGGCAAAGGAAGACCTCTTGCTAATTTTCATCTGCATTTTACTCTCTGTTATGTAGTATTTCAGTGACAGGATCCACTCGGGAGAGTTGGGGCAAGGCTGGCTGAGGTGCTCAAGGAGCTGAGCTTTGAGTTCAGGTACCCACATGGCAGTGGAATGGTGCCTCCTGACCTTTCAGACCTTTGGGACCTCGGGAGGTCTTAGGAATCATCTCAAGCCTCCAGTCCAGAATACGACTGCCTAGGGAAATCCCAGGGAAAGGTGGCAGGTAGAGTATCCTTTCTGAGTTTTACTCTCTTGTCCTCCCTCACTCTTTTCTGTATGTCTATGTTGCTCTACGATGTCTTCTCCTTGAGATTCTGTAGATGATGATGCCAGGTTATTTATTTTATGTTCTTGTCAACAGAGATAGTGTGGACTGCAAGGTGATGGGCGTGACCTCCAAGACTCCACATCACTCACTGGCTGTGCAAGGCTTATGCTACCCTTCCAGAGAGGCAGCAAGAAGGAAGCTTGAGGAGGTGAGGATCCATCACTCTTCCCTCTGCCGTCTGACTTCATCATCCTTTAGTTATCACATTGTTTCAGCCCAGCCTGATGGGCTTTCTCCTGTGTGTTTTTTTATAGACCCCATTCCTTGGCCAGAGAGAGGATGGTTCTGGGGAGCTCCTGAAACACACTGAGGAAGGTGCTGCTGTTGCATAAGACAGACACGCCGCTCCTTGAGCCAAGAAGCACCTAGAGTGGAATTCAAGCCCATCATCCTTATGGACTGACGTTCTCACCATGACAGTTCTGAATTGGACTGGTTTTCCTTGGGTCACTTACATAATGCACAATTCTCTGTGACTTTGACTGATTTGCTTTATTTTTTCCTGTCTTTCTTTTCTTGGCCTGGGAATCATAAAAAAGAATTGTTCTATATGGTATGATCTGTGATGAAATGAGCCTTGTTTATGTTCTTAGGGAATTTCTAAATTGAAGTTCCATGTTAATTAGTAAACGTGCCCATATAGTTTGATTTGTATCTCGCCCATTTTTAGATTAAAAATATATTTCCTTTTTTCTCAAAGTGTGGATTTAGGTAATGACCCAAGTCACATTTGCTTAGCTACTGAAAAGATCTCAATGTGGTAGTGGTTGGAATTAAAATATAATCAAACATACATTATACCTGAGGCTCTTACACACCATTTGATATAAATGTTATACTGCAAAGGAACATAAATCTTACAGGTTGAAATGTAATTCCTCTTTGATCATGTAGGGAAAATAGCAAAAAATTATGAATATCAAAAGTGGCTTTAAGTATCACAAATGTGAGCTAACCAACACTGGAACACTGGAAAGTTTCAAAATGTCATCATCTAAGACAAAGCAGGAGTCGAAGAGCAACTGTCCTCATCAGTGGTGTTGCTCTGGTGTCTCTGTGGCTTTTCTTACTTGAGGGAGGTAAAGAACTTGGCACATTTCTGTGACTGGGTGTACAGAAGCTATAGTACTTCTGACTGTTCTGTAACTGTGCCTGCCTATCAATAAAATGTTTTCAGTTGACTCAGCAACAATGTCTTTGTCAATTTCCTCCAAAACTGTGTCCTTAGTGGTTTTGTAAGAAAGTCCAGTACAGACCTACAAGAGGTTCATCTGTGAAAGATCTCATCTGGTTCCAGAGTTATTGCTGTTCTAGAAGTTGCCTTACAGCTACATATTTTCTGTACACAGAACTGGAGTTGTATAGTAGTCACCTTTTCTATTTTTCATATCATAGTCAACTCTAGAAATCTCTAGTGAGGGCCTCATCTCTAATGATGGCCACTATCTGCCGTTCTTCTCTAATTCTGGAGTTCCTGTTGGTTTCTGTGAGAATCTCAGACAACCACTAACTCTATGAAGCTCAAGTTGCTTGTGTACAAAATGAGAATAATGATACTTCTTGTGATTATGTTGATAAGTGCCGTAAGGGTATCGCAAGAATGGTTCTTCACACGTTGTTAACAGGTTAAGATGTGACAGTACTCAATAAATGGTGCTTCTTTTATTCTTAATAAGGAGTTAACTTTTCAGTAACTTTATAGTAGGCCTTTAAGAGTACTGAATAACCTCTGAATAACTGCTTAGGCCTCCTTGCTTAAAATCACTGGAAAGCAATATGCAGATTCACAGGACAAAGTCAGGAGACAAGAATGTGCTGTTCACCACTTGGGCCAAAGCCAAATTCCTCAGTTCTGTAATTCAGCCTTCTGTGATACAGGGTAGACGTCTTTTGTGCCTCACAGAGATGACACTGTCTCTTTCACAGAGAGTGCTCTGCCATGCATGTAGATATCTGAGACCCTACCTGTCTTAGTTACTTTCTTGTTGCTGGGGCCAAATACTCAACACCCATAGTCGGCTAATTCCAAGACAGGGCCGCATGGGAAGAGGGGCATCGCTGAGGAGAAACAGTCTGTGGCATGGCAGGCAGGAAGCAATCTTCCTTCTTTTTTCCCTTTTCATTCCACTCAGGCTGCAAGCATATTGATTGGTGCCACCTACATCCAGAGTGGGTACTCCTTCAAGAGGTCCATCAGTAAGTCATGAGGTAGTATCTGGGGGCTATCCTTCATATTCTGCACGTCCATCACCCACACCCAGAACTATGCTAAACCAATCAGTAGACTGATCCAGTACCACACACCCATGATCCAGTCACTCCCTAAAGCCCCACCTATGAGCACATGAGGGTTTGGGGGGGCATCTAGGTATAAGCGGTAACACTACCGTTTTCACCTGTCTGCAACATCAGGCTTCTGCCATCCCAGAGCTGGTGAGTCTCCCCTCCATACTAACAAGTTCTTATTCACTGTAAAGACCTCAGTCTGCTGGAGACTTCATCAGACAGCCTCTGGCACTTTAGTAGAAAACACTTTTGAGAAAACCCTGCACAGGGGGCTGGGGATTTAGCTCAGCGGCACAGCGCCTTCCTGGCAAGCACAAGGTCGTGAGTTCGATTCCCGGTACCGGAAAAAGCCAAAAAAAAAAAAAAAAAAAGAAAACCCAGCACACACCACCACTACACCTGAGATTTTGTAATAACCATACAGCAAAGACAAGAGCTAAGCTCATCCATTCCATGCAGAGTGGCAAGCTGCAACAATTTTTCTCTGATTGCCAAAATATGAATGATGGCCCCGTAGATACTACTTCATGACTTTGACACATGCAGATTAAAAGGGGCATTTTTTTTGCTTTCTACCTTGAAGTGATTAAAATGGTGGTAATAATTGCAGCAAGAAGTTAATTACATTGTAATCACTATATGCTAGGCACCAGGAAAGCATTTACAAGCACTGGCTCATGTAATCATTACTGCAGTCTCACGAAGTGGGTATTCTCACTACCTGAGGGAGAACCTGAGGCCCGCAGTAGATGAATAACTGGGCTGGGCCTCCTGGTGTGTAAGAGGCAGAACTGGAGTGAACCGGGTCCGCCTATCTGTAATCTTGAGCTTTTCCCATCATGCTTAACTGCTTCCTCACCAGGCCCCCAGTGCTGTCCAATTCTTTGCTAGCTGGTAACTTTTAACCTCGCCTTCAGAACTTCATTGTCTTTATTTGTAATTTGGGGCTAGTAATTATAGTTCTGTCTTGCCTGTTTCTCACAGCTATTGTCTAAGCTTTCAGCAAATACATACTAAGTGTAAATCAATATGAGAAGTAAATATGTTATTTTTTTAAAATAACACTTTTAAAATTACAGAAACCTCTTCTGGATGAGGTTCAGACTGAGCCTACTGTGTGCTGGATTCTGTTTTTTGAGCAGCCTAGGGCTCCTGAGTATCATTTTCAGGAGACATTCTAAGGGATGTGAGTGTTCAGCCTAAACGCTATGTAGTGAATTACTGAAAGGACACCAAAGTAAAGGAGCAATAGTAGAATCTTAAGTAACATGATACCGACTCTCGCCCTGGGTCCTGACTCCTTTAGCTAGGGATGTCACTCATGGCAGACTGTAATAACTTCTCCCCAGGTCCTTCTCTCTCAGCTCATCCAGAGGGTGGTGGCAGTGTTTCTCAAAGGACCGCTGGACTTCAAAGCACTTATGCAGATGCAAGCAGGGGTAGCAGCTGTAGTTGGTACCCTGTTCATATTTCTGAGGACTTTGTCTGGTAAACTTTCCCACTGTGTAGTATAGTTTCCCACTGTGTAGTGTAGTTTACACACTACACACACTTTATAGATTTTGACACTTTTTACATTCCAGGCTTTAAAATTGGGGCATTAATTCCTGTCTCTTCCTGTAGTTGACCCTCCACCAAAGACTGAGGAGGGTTGAGGTGAAAATACCCTCTTTGATTGGATAGATCAAATGAAGCATGTTCCCTACCTGCTCTGAGGTCCCCAGAGAGGGGGCACACAGTTGGCCATGGTAGTAACTAGTTCGAGAATCTATTTTTGTTCTGTGTTTTGCCTTTCCTGTGTCATGTTCTCACTTCTCAACCAGTGTTTCCTAGGATCACCTTACCAGCACATAGTCAGTTTGCAGTGAATTTCCATCCTAGCGTGTGCTTGTGGGGGGAGCCTAAGCTAGTTCAAAATTCTGGTGCTGGTTAGCTAGAGAAATGATAATGCACCACAGAAAATATGGTAGCATCGTCCAAGACTAAATAAATAGCTTCTCTCTTTGTCCTCGTTTGCTGCTGTGTTAGGAACAGGAAAAGGGATCTTATAAACCTGAGAACCAGATGCCTGAGCATGATTTCCTTCTTCTGGGAACACGCATCTCCACAAGCTGTGAGATATTTTTCTTTTAAATGAAAGACTCAAATAGCATGTGAGATTGGGGAAAGTCACTAGATGGCAAATCAAATTACAATGCACCATGTAGTAATTAAATAGAAGGGGATAATGGGAAAGGATAAAGTCACAGTCCCAGAGCCCCCCCCCCCACCTCTCAAGGATCTCAAGGACTCCTATCTGCCTTTGAATTCCTTCTGCTTCAATTAACATTGATTGAGCCTGTCTAAAGTGCCTGGCTCTTGTCAAATCCCATTATGGGAGAGTCCAAGATACTATCTGTCTGCAAGCCTTTGTTGCGTGGGACATTTTTGTGGGAATATTGAATATTCTGTGGAGTAGCTAACACATTGATCAGCGCTGTTATATAAAAGGTTTGCTCTTTCTGCCATGGCAGTTTTGCAAATGGGCTTTCGTTTTTGCTGTTGTCATTATCAACTCAAACCAATTCTCTGAGTTCAAGTTATGATGCTCTAAGAAGTGTGTCACACTGACCCACTACTGCTTTTAAAGATAAACATTGAATCTGTCAAGCAAGAAAATGTGACTGAATCTTTGTTACAGCCTGTGTACACCAAATTTAGTTTTATTTGTTGAGAAGGGACACACAATCATGCCCCCCGCTGTAAGTTTCTGAGTGTTTATTTTATTGGAGAGATAAATTATTTTACTGGAATTCCTGTTTACATTAGACTGCTTTCTTTCTTTTACTCTTTGCTGAGGTCTTAGGATGGGGCTGTATTTTATGCATCTTTGTTTTTAATATGAAGCTGGTAACAGATCTTTATGTTGAGTGTCCACTTTTACTCAAAATAATTGAAGTAGATGATGAAAAATATTTATTTTATAACTTTTATCTTGAATTGTAGTTTAAGTCAACAGGAGTATACGTCCAGCCTTGCATTTACCTGAGTTAAAGAGAAATCAAAGATCTCTTCTTGTCTGAGGGTTTTTGCTTCAATGCTGAAAGGCAAAATTTCTATAGGAGAAAAAAAAAACCAGAGTAACTTCCTTAGGCTTTTAAATGACCAAACACTTCCTTTATGAAGGAAAAATACTACCCTTGATACCTTTATAATATTCAAATTTTAATCTTAATAATTTTTTAGTTTCCCTGAATATTCAAATGCTAATTTCGCCATTCATAAAACATACTTTATGAATACAATCATCTTATTTAAATGCAGAATATAATTAAGCAAATTCTTCTAAATATTTCAGTAAAATCTCTACTAATTCTATTTAGCAGCTGCCCAAACTTTAAAAGCAAAAGATGTATGTACACATGGATAATTACAGAGGAATTTTAATATCTACTCTTCAACTATAAAAGAATGTGTATACTATGGGTTGGATTAATGTATTCAGTGTTTTTAAACTTTTTATACTTTCATTGTTATATATACTTCCATTATTTATATTTTTCTAGGATTATAGTTACCCTTTCAGACTCAAAAATTAATTTTTGTCAGACTCAAAAGGATGTAGACTCAGACTAGTTGATTTGAAGACTAGCCATTTAATTTTTGGTTAACACATCTGGTCTTATGGGATCCCTTCAGAGGTGATTTAGTCATGAGCCTTTTATTTCTCTCCAAAATTTTTTCTGGGAGTCAAGGTTCAGTTACTCTGTCAATGGTCATTGGAAGACTTTGTCTTACACTAGAAATGTGCAGCTCCCTTGAGAGTGCCCCTGTCCATCAAATTTCAGCTCCAAGCAGTGAGCCTTTACTTGATGATGCTTTGGATTCTCAGTAGTTTTGATAGAAACATCAGAAC